TGCTTTTTTGTCCTAGTCTTCTTCAAATTTCATTGTCTAATTTCCTTCCATTTTGTGGTTCACATATTCAATCTCCACTCTCCCCAAAAGTTTACTTCTGAAATATTTCTTATGTCTATAATCACCCCCATCACTCATTTCTGCAGCTAATTCATGCCTTCATCATCTTGCTACTAGACCATAGGCTCTGTTGTCTCCCTGTTAACCTTCTCTACAAATTCTTTTTTTTTTTCATTTTATTTTATTTTATTTTTTGAGAACATACTGTACAGAGGGGTTACAATTACATGGGCAGGATAATGCATGCATTTCTTATCAAGCATTGCAGCCTCCTCCTTTGTTTACCCTTCACATCCCTTCCCAGCCTCCCCCCCTCAATTCTCCCCCCCTCCCTCCCCGCCCCCCCTACAAATTCTTTAAATTAGTTAATTAATCAAATTATTAAATTAATTAATTAGTGCCAGCACAGAGGCTTTACATTCTTGCTTGGCTTTTTCATTCAAGTCTGGGGCTATACTTCCAGCTGCTTAATTAGTGATCAAAATCTCATGTACTTTCCTGCCCTGGTGGCTTTGAACAATGATTCTCAGATTTAATTCTCTAAGTAGTTATGATTACAAGCATGAACCACTAGCACCTGGCTTTCAAGAGTACTGTTAACTACTTTGTCATAAACTGTTGCTCACTTGAATCAGCTGTAATCATGGCTATAACTTAAACTAGTTAAGTTTTAAGTGCCTTAAACTACTTGGGGTTTTTGAAGTCAGGACATAAACCTTCTGCGTTGGGATTCCAGCAGTTTCTAACATGACTCTCAGTAATGGCTTCTCATTAGCATTACTTACAATGCTAAGGGAGTGGGGATGTGGGAAAAGTGGAACCCTATTACACTGTTGATGAGAATTAAACTGGTACAACCACTTTGAAAGACAGTTTGGAGATTCCTCAAAAGAATAAATGTAGAACTATCCTATGATCCAGTGATACCACTCTTGGGCATCTACCCAGAGCATTACAAGTCAGGATAGAGTAAAGACACTTGCATATTCATGTTTATTGCTGCACTATTCACCATAGACAAGTTATGGACATAGCCTAGATACCCCACAACAGATGAGAGGGTTAATAAAATGTGGTATATATATATATATATCCAATTGAATTTTATGTCATTTTCAGGGAAATAGATGAGCCTGGAAAAAATTGTTAAGCAAAGTAAGTCAGTCTCAGAGAGACAAGGAATGTGTGTTTTATATGTGGAAGTTAGATCTAAATTATAAATATATGTGTAAACATATAAGCATCATGTGCATATATAAGGTGGCTCAGTGGTAGAGTGCTTGCCTTGCATGCATGAAGCCCTGGGTTCTATTCCTTAGCACCACATAAGCAGAAAAAGCCAGAAGTGGACACTGTGGCTCAATTGGTAGAGCGCTAGCCTTGAGCTAAAGAGCTGAGGGACAGCGCCCAAGCCCAGAGTTCAGGCCCCACAAGCAACAAAAAACAAACAAACAAAGAAGAAAGAAAACAGGGCTAGAAAAAAATCATGTGCATATATAAACAGATTAAAAAGTATGATTTATGCAGGGGAGGATTCCAATGGTGTAACTTTGAACAACTAACTTACATTTTAACAAAATGAGTAGCAAGATGCTAAATTATGTGTTGTTGGAGTGGGGATTGGTAGACAAATGGGGAGAGAAAGCGTAGGCAAATGCAATCATAACATTCAATATACGTATGTGAAGATGGGTGGGGTTGGGAAAAATGGGGGAGAATGATGAAAGGGGTGACATTGATCAAGATGAAATGTATTCACAAAGGGGCATATTAAATGGAAACTCCTTTGTACAACTAGTTAAGGATAATAAAAATTTTTTTGAAGAAAGAAATAAGCTGGGCACTGGTGGCTTTTATAACTGTAATCCTAGCTACTCAGGAGGCTGAGATCTGACGAGCACAGTTCAAAGCCAGCCTGGGCAGGAAAGTATAATATCGCTAGCCACCAAAAAGCTGAAAGTGGAGCTGTGGCTCAAGTGGCAGAGTGCTAGCTTTGAGTGTAAAAGCTCAGGGACAGCACCGAGGCTCTGAGTTCTAATCCCAGGACCTACACTACAAAAGAAAGAAAGAAAAAAGAGAGGAAGGAAGAAGGAAAGAAAGGAAAGGAGAGAAATGAAAGAAGGAAAGAAAGAAAAAAGGGAGAAAAAAAGGACAGAAAGAAAGAAAAAGGAAGCGAAAGAAACAAGAAGGGAACAGTAACAGTGGAAATTTGTGAGGGTGTGGTCTAGGAATTAGGGAATAGTAGGAGCTCCCTTGGTGATACCAAGGGAGAGAAGAGAATACCATGCATAGGAGTTAACAGCTCTAGGTGAGTTCAACTCTGGCAGTGAACTATTTTGATCCCAACTAGTGTGTTGGTGTTGTATTTGGGGCTCTGTGTGTGTGTGTGTATGTGTGTGTTTGTCTACAGCTCTGTCTGGAGGCACTCAAAGATATCCATTATATGACTTGGCCCAAAATGATTTATTCTACCAGCAAATGTGAGTGGCCATTATGTGCCAGGCATTGTTGTAGGAGCTGAGATCACTGCAGCAGACCAAGCATCATGCCTGCTGTCCTGGATCTTACACTTTTGGGTACAGGAAGACAGACTTTCAGTAAATAATGTTAAGTAATGATAAATGCTGTGTGGGGAAAACAAAACATGGTAAATGGCAGAGAGAAAAAAAAAGCCACAACACTTTTATATAATCCTTGTTGTAAAAATATTCTCCATCTGTCTTTAATGCTTTGAAACTCAGCCTAGGCTGGGGGTGTAGTGTAGCTCAGTGGTAGAACACTTGTCCAAGCCTATACAAAGCCCTGGGTTCATTCCCAACACAACAACAAAAAATCAAAATCAAAACAAACTAACAAACCCCACTTACCCTGATGGAAGTCCAAGAACCAGAGCTGGTGAGTTAGCCAGTGTGGGAAAAGTGGGACTCTTACTTCTTGCTTCTCCTGTTGGCCATAAACATGGGGCTCAGTGGCCAGTAGTCTGGATAGAAAAACCCTGGACAAGTAGTTAGACAATAGGGAAAGAGGTGGGAACAGCCTGGGTGCCATGCACACACAAAAATGAGCCAACGAAGAGGAGGTGCCATTGACCAAGAAACACTGTAGTCATAACCTGATTTATGGAATTGTAACTGTTTGTACCACACACTAACAACAACAACAATAAAGTCAGTGAACTTGGCCTGTAGCCATGAACTCTGATGTCAACACTGTACTCACCAGATGCCCTAGCTTAGGTGAACCGAGAGGCTTTACCCCCCACCCCACCAGGCTTATCAAACAAATTTCAAGATAGTATGTCAGCTCTTTTACATTTTGGTTACCCTCCTCTTATGTTAAAGATTATAATCCTTATACTCTCTATAAGAAGATAATTTTGCCAAAACCTTATTTTTAAAATTTTCTTCATAACAATGACCAGTTTTCTTTGTAAGTGGGAAGTGATGGTTTACTCCAGTAAGATGTTAAGTTTTCTAAATGACAGGTAACATTACATTTTCTTTGATAGGTGAAAAAGTTGTCAGGTATTAGATAGACTATATTTATGGAGAGCAAGATAAAGTTCCATCCGTAGGCCTTTCATTTCTCCATGATTCTTGATCTCAGAGTCTCTCCCCAAAAGTCAATTTTCAAGGAAGGTGGTCCTCTCCTCTGCATCCTATATGGTTGGAGAAGTGGTAATGACTTTGTGAGGGTGCATGTAACAATTCTAGCACAGGGTGTGTGTGTGTGTGTATGCAGGGTGTGTGTGTGTGTGTATGCACATCCTTCTCCAGGCTGACACCTCCCCAAGGTAAGGTGATCGGAAGTTTAGCGCTCCAGACAGACTTCACTACAGGACTGAAATCGATCTTAGGAGACAGGCTGGCATGTGTGGTAACCACAGAAACAGTAACTTAAGAAAGAGATGAAAGCTCATGCAGTGGTCCCTAGCTTCTACACTCCTGAGATCAGGCAAATCTATGGAGAAAAGCAACCAGGTCCTTCCAGCTCGAGGTGGAAGCCTCTGCCACAGGGAGTAGGACTCTTTCTTTCTTTCCTTCCTTTCTTTCTTTATTTCTTTCTCTCTCTCCCTCTCTCTTGCTGTCTGTCTCTCTGTCTCTGTCTCTCTCCTCTTTGTCTGTCTGTCTGCTTTTCTCTTTTCTTTTCGTTCGTTCTTGTGCAGCCGGGTGCTGGTAGCTCACACCTGTAATCCTAGCTACTCAGGAGGCAAAGCAAGAAAGTCTGTGAGGTTCTTACTGACAATTATCAGCCCCAAAGTAGGAAGTGGAGCTGTGGATCAGGTGGTGGTGGAGCGCTAGCCTTGAGGCGGCGGCGGGAAAGTTCCCAGGGGCAGCAAACAAACAATCCCCTTCCTCTACGACTGGACTCGGGGCATCTCCCAGTGGCCTTTCACCTGAGCGCGATCCAAACGCGCACAAGGCCCGCAGAGCAATCCCTGGGACTGAAGGAGCTCCTTAGCCAGGTGAAGGTGTCTCTCTGGTTTGGCCGCATAATCTGGGGTCCAGCGGTCCTGACTGGCCCCTGCGCCCCTGCAGGGAGGGAGACTCGCCGCCCGCCCCCCGCCATCGCGGACACGGCCGCACCACGCGCGTCCCACTCCTCCCCGCGCCTCCCACTCCTCCCGCCCCACCCCAGGCGGCCCGGCTAGGGGCGGGGGGAGGCGGGAAGCTGCGCCGGCGGTGTGGGCGTGGCCTCGCTGGGTTGGGCATGGCTTGGCGGGGCGGAGTCTGCCGCGGCGGCGGCGGCGGCGGGCGGCCTCAGCGGCAACCGCGTCTCCTGAGGTACCTGGGGCGGCCTCAGCCTCGCCCGAGAGCATCCTCTTCCCAGCGCCGGTCCTCGCACGCAGCCCGCGCTCGCCAGCCTCCCTCCGTGCGCCCGAGGCTGACTTCTTTTGTGTTTTGTTTCCTACCCCGTGCCTCGTCTCCTCAGGACCCGTCCGTTCTTCTGCCGGCTACAAGAAGGCAGAGGATGAGATGTCCCGGGCTACGTCTGTTGGAGATCAGCCGGAGGCACCGGCCCGCACCATTTCCCTCAACCAACCGCAACTCAACAAATTCCGCGACAACCAGATCAGGTAGGAGAGGAGGCTGCGCAGAGACGCAGGTCGGCTGCAGTGGAGTCCTGGCTGGGAAGGATAGCTTTTACACACACACACGCACACGCGCGCACACACACAGGCACGCACGCGCACGCGTGCGCGCGCACACACACCTAGCTGGTCCTCTCCATCCCGTCAGCGCCTGCACCTCAGCCCCCCTTCACCTCCCCAGCCGGCCCAGCCAATGGGGTCCTGGGAATTCACCATCCCTGCCTTCATCCCGCCCCCCCCCCCCCGTGCTGTGCCCAGCCCTTCTGCAGGGCCCTCAGGAAGTTATTGTCCTGATGTCACCCACAGAAATGTGGCACTTTTCTCTTTTCGTCCCCCCAGGCTGCCTTTCTAGAATTTCCCTGGGATCCCATTTTAATCCCCTTGCCCCTCATGGATAGCTGTCCTGTGGTAGCTCCCAGCTATAATGTGGGGAAATGCTTTAAAAGAGAATCCCGCACGTCCATCACAGGACTCCCCATTCAGTCCTCAATGGTTCATGACACTTGCCAAGAGGTTTGTTTGCTGGGAAATTTAACCCAGAGTTAGCAGAAGGTAACAATGAGAGTCTATCAACTCATGAAGCAGGCATTCTGAGCTCTAGATGAGGAAACTGAAGCGTAAGGATGAGAAATAATTTGCCTATGGTCCTGTAGTTACTTCATGGAAGAGCTGGAGACTAAGCCCATCCCTCTGATTAGCAAGCAAATGGTCTCTGCCATACAAAGCTTTTTTGGTTTTGTTATTTTATTGTTTATTTTTATTTTTGATACAGGCATTTCACTTTCAAATTTCATTAAACTTTCAGGCCTAGATCATACCTCATAGCTCTATGAGCTATTCAGAACACCGTGCTCTACAGAAAAGTTCATTGATGGATCATAGATTATTGATGAACCTGAATTCTAATCTAGTGTGCTTTCTTGAAAGTTTTGGGTAAAACTCTTTGTTGTTGTTAAGTGTTTGTGTATTCCACCAGTCCATTAGTGTTTTTACTGGTTGTTGGACATTGTTGTGGCTTGATAGGATTTGTGATAGAATAATATTGCATATTGGGGCTGGGAAGGTGGCTCAGTGGTAGAGTGCTTGCTTTGCATGCATGAGGCCCTGGGTTCGATTCCTCAGCACCACATAAGCAAAAAGAAAAAAGCCGGAAGTGGCACTGTGGCTCAAGTGGTAGAATGCTAGCCCTGAGCTGAAGAGCTGAGGGACAGCACCCAGGCCCAGAGTTCAGGCCCCACAACTGGACCCCCCCCCCCATATTGACAGAAAGGAGTAACATTTATTTTTTATGGGAATGTTGATTGTGCTGGCATTATTTGAGGTTTCAAGAATGACCTTTGCGGGCTGGGAAGGTGGCTCAGTGGTAGAGCGCTTGCCTTGCATGCCTGAGGCCCTGGATTCGATTCCTCAGCACCACATAAGCAAAAAAGAAAAAAGCCGGAAGCGGCGCTGTGGCTTAAATGGTAGAGCGCTAGCCTTGAGCTGATGAGCTGAGGGACAGCACCCAGACCCCACGACCGCACCCCCCCTAAAAAAAAGAATGACCTTTGCTGGGTGCTGGTGGCCCACACCTATAATCCTAGCAACTCAAGATGCTGAGGAGATCTGAGCATCCAGGTTCAAAGCGAGCTTGAGCAGAAAAAAATCTGAGAGACTCTTATTGCCAATTAACCATCAAAATGCCAGAAGTGGCTTAAGTGGTATAGTACCAGCCTTGAATGAAAAAGGCCCTGAGTTCAAGCCCCAGTATGAGCACACACACACACATCCATCCCCCCTCCCACAACTTTTTTTTTTTGTTATTGTTCGTGGGGCTGAACTCTGGGCCTGAACGCTGTCTCTCAGCTCTTCAGCTCAAGGCTAGTGCTCTACCACTTGAGCCACAGTGCCACTTCTAGTGTTCTGAGTGGTTTGTTGGAGATAAGAGTCTCACAGACTTTCCTGCCCGGGGTTGGCTTTGAACTACGATCCTCAGATCTCAGCCTCCTGAGTGCTAGGATTACAGGCGTGAGCGACTGGCACCGGGCTCCCCCCACAACTTTTGATTGCATTCATTTCCTTACTTATGTAACTGTAACTCCTCTGTACATCACCTTTACAATAAAATAACAGAAAAAAGGAAAAAGACTTTTGAATATATTTTATTCTTTAAAAAGTATAGTTTTTGCATAGCTGCTTGAGTCCTCAATTCAGAGTGCATGGGCTTATTTTAAGATACAGAATATTGACTTCAGTGAATTACTTTACACATTGGGGTGGCTCTAATCAGGAAAATAGATAACAAGCCTTGGCAAAGACGTAGAGAAAGTAGAACCCTCACACATTGCTAATGGGAACGTAAACTAGTGCCACGGCTTGGGAAAGCAGTATGGCTATTCCTTGAAAGGCTTCAATGTAAAGTTTCCAGGTGACCAGGAACATCATTCAAAGCTATATATAACATAGGGAAATGAAAATAGGCTCCCACAAAACTTGTACAAAATGTTCATAACAACGTTATTTATAATGGTCAATCCAAATGTCTGTCAAATGATGAATGAAAACATAAAAGTCTGGTATATCTATACAATGGAATGTTTTTTGAGAACGAAAAAGGGATAGAATATGTATATGACAACATGGGTTAACCCACGATGTTTTATTACATAAAAGAAACCAGCCATGAGAGGCTTATACTAGCTGGGCTTTGGTAGCTTATGCCTGTAATCCTAGCTACTAAGGAGGCTCAGTCTGAGGATTGTGGTTCAAAGCCAGCCTTCACAGACAAATCTGTGAGATTTTTTTTTTTTTTTTTGGTCGGTCGTGGGGCTTGAACTCTGGGCTTGGGCGCTGTCCCTCAGCTCTTCAGCTCAAGGCGAGCGCTCTACCACTTGAGCTACAGCGCCACTTCCGGTTTTCTGGTGGTTTATTGGAGATAGGAGTCTCATGGTCTCTCTTGCCCGGGCTGGCTTTGAACCGCGATCCTCAGATCTCAGCCTCCTGAGTAGCTAGGATTACAGGCGTGAGCCACCAGCGCCCGGCTCTAAAAATAGGCAATTTTATTTTATTTACTTTTTTTTTGTTGGTCGTGGGGCTTGAACTCTGGGCCTGGGCGCTGACCTTCAGCTCTTCAGCTCAAGGCGAGTGCTCTACCACTTGAGCTGCAGCGCCACTTCCAAATCTGTGAGATTCTTATCTCCAATTAACCTGCAAAAAGCTGGAAGTGAAAATGTGACTCAAGTGGCAGAGCACTTGAGTAAAAAAAAGCTAAGGGATAGCACACACACACACACACACACACACACACACACACACAAACAGTCACACATACATGTTGAGGCTATTCAAGAGAATGGTTTCAAAATAGAAATTGATACAGAGTTCCTTTTTCTTAATATATTTTTTTCATGAGAAAACGTGATATTTTTCTTACAATCAGGGCCATAGAGGGTTTATCTGTTTGTTTACCACTCTTTCTCTCTCTCTTGGTGCTGAGGATTGAACCCAATGCCTCACACTTTCTCAACCATGTAGCTGCTCAGTCAAGAATTTTGGAACGATAGGACCACATGGAGTTACTGAGGCTCATACTTGTCTACTGAATCAGGGATGTCTGATTCTTTGGCTGTTGAACACCTCAGGAGACCCGATTTCTTTGAAACAGAATTTGCTCACTTTCTCCTTCACCTCAAGCCCTTTCTGCTTTGAAACCTTGCAGTTTTGCCTTAGAATCTTGTCTCTGTGGGTGAATGGTGTTTTCTTTTTTACATGCAAGACTGGGGCTCCGATGCTTTACACTCAGACACCCTACCACCTGAGCCATGTCTCCAACCCCAGCAATTTTGATCCAAGGCAGAAACAAAGGCTGGGAGTTTGGTATGGAGGAGAGAGGTTGTGTTTGGGCTTGGTGAAGGTGATAGAGTTCATTTCTAGACAGGGATTTCAACACTCACTGTTAACGTTTGGAACTGGTGTGACTCAAGAAAGGCTAGTTATAATAACAATAAAAATGAAAATTAAAAAAAAAAGACAAAAAAGAAAAGAGGCTGGGACCAAGGACATGCCTGGAAAGATGAATAATTTGACTTCTGCAGTAGACTGTGGGTTAGGCAATCCCAAGGAAAGCACTTCACAGGAACTCTAAATTCTAGGCAGTTCCATGAATTTCTAGAAGTGCTTTGGCTATATTTGCACATACTTCTCTAAACTTTGGTCTTGTTCTTTTTTATTTTTATTTTTTGTGCTGGTACTAGGGCTTGAACTCAAGGCCCTTGGTGCTATCCCTTAGCTTTTTTACTCAAGGCTGGTGCTCTACCACTTCAGCCGTAGCTCCACCTCTAGCTTTTTGCTGGTTAAAGAGTCTCACAGAGCCAGGCGCGGGTGGCTCATGCCTGTAATCCTAGCTACTCAGGAGGCTGAGATCTGAGGATCGTGGTTCAAAGCCAGTCCAGGCAGGAAAGTCCGTGAGACTCTTATCTCCAATAAACCACTAGAAAACCGGAAGTGGCGATGTGGCTCATGCGGTAGAGTGCTCGCCTTGAGCTGAAGAGCGCAGGGACAGCGCCCAAGCCCAGAGTTCAAGCCCCACAACTGACAAAAAAAAAAAAAAAAGAGTCTCACAGATAGTTGTTCTTGCCTCTGCTGGCTTTGAACCATGATCCTCAGATCTCAGCCTCCTGAGTAGCTTAGGATTATAGGCCTGAACAAACAATGGATACTGGCTATTATTGGTCTTGTAATTGACAGTAATAATACCACCAGTGTCTGAGACCTGTGGTATGTTTACTGACATTTTCCACAATCGAGGCTAATGAATTTGCATTATTATAATGGTGAAGAATTGTAAAGTAGTCTTTTTTTTTTTTTTTTTTTTGGTCTTAGGGCTTGAACACAGGTCTTGGGTCTCTCTGGGCTCTTTTGGCTCAAGGCAAGCTCTTTTCCACTTTGAACCACAGGGTCACTTCCTGAAGTAGTATTTTTTTCCTAAGCATTGATTCTCAAGAGCC